AGTCAGCTTCGAATGTAACTGAGATTAAGTAAGAAAAGTTTATAAGAAAACACTCAGCTTGTGTTTTTATGAAAGTTAGTAGTTACTGGTAGTTAAATTAACTACTAACTATTCCAGTTAGTAGTTAGAATAACTACTAACTGAAAAAAAGTTGAGTTAGTGGCATAACGCAACTTTTTTTAACGGAACTCCGACAGCCCTACTCGTTCTCGAAAGTTTCCGGTCGACAAGAGGTTAGCGCTCATTCACAGAGATGAAATGGATTCAACTCCGCATAAAAAACCAACGTGTTTCCGTCCAGAAAAGTCATCAATAAAAAACTATTTTTATTAGTCAGTAACCCATATTTTGTTTTTTCAGAATATGCGTCTTACCTGATAACGATGAAGCCATTTTTTCTGATAAAAAAGTTTTGATCAAAGTGTTTCAACCGTCTGAGAAAACCTAGCCTTAACCGACACTTCCAGTAGCACTTAGTAAATCTGGCTTCATCGTTATCAGTTCACAGTGGAAGACGCATATTCTGGAAAAACATTCCGCATATTCCGGTTTTTTATGCGGAGCTGAATCCATTTCATCACTGTGAATGAGCGCTAACCTCTTGTCGACCGGAAACTTTCGAGAACGAGTCATACACAGGTTGTGCATCTATAAAATTATCACCAAGATGCACCTCGGTTTCGTTGTTGAATTATGCGATTTCCAAATATCTAGCTATTTCGATGATATCTCTTACAGTTTTCTCCATCTGACCAAAGCTGTGGTTAAAAAGGGTAAAGTCAGATTTAAAATCAGCATGAGAAATTGCATTTGATAGTGTAACTTTTAATCACTTTCTAACGGATTATTGCGCAAAATTTTAAAAGGATAGATTTTTGAATAAGTCTATTTCACCGACATATTTTGTTTACGTTCCATATTTATACATGGACCGCATTTTACAGAGTTCTGGAAAGTGTAATTGATCGAACTTTTCAATATATGCCATCAACTTTCAGCTAATAATTTTTTGTGGTGTGCAAAAGCGCTGAAAAATTAGCGAAGCATTATATCTATGGGTTTCCGAGCACAGTGTTTAGTCTAATGGTGCATCTTTCAAATCTCAAAAAGCGTTTTGCAAACGTGTTCTGTAGTGCAACGCTCTGGAAAATCTCTCAAACAAAGATTTTTGGTGACTTTTCGAAGTTTAGATGACAGGGTACGTCGGAAAACCTACAAATGTGTTGTTACGAGTCAAAAAATCAAACGTTTGCCTGTCTCTGGAAAATAGCCACCTATGGCTTCTTTTGTATTAAATGTATTTTTCTTCATAATACGAAAATGACGGATAACTGTAATATGAATATGTATGTTACTAAGATTCTTTCATAGAAGAAGAAGAAGAAAGAGGAAATGACACGCTTCGCCTCTTGAAAAGAAAAAAAATAGTACTAGTGGCACATTGCTGTTGAGTATAAGATTACATATTCTGTTCTTATCAACATGAAGCGAATTGTTTTTTTTATCAATACCACATACAGAAAAAGTCTTCTCAAGGAAAGAATACCATAGAACAATATTTTTCTTTTCTATTACAGAATATAATAATGCTTTATAGGTCATTACAATCAGTTTATTAAATTAAGCTATGTATCGAATACTCTCTGTTTTGCGTAACAAACGACCACAGGCAGCTGAAACCGCTACTGAAAGTCCAATAAAACGAAGTATATCGGAAAAAGATATAAGAAATGAACACTATAAAATAATTTGGTTGGATCAAAATGCAAATGACAATAAAAGTGATTCGATGCGCACAAAAATGCTTTTAAAAAGTATAAACAACGATCAGTGTTCATTTTTTGATGACAAAGATAAATTTGTAAATGCAATTGAAACGTCAAATAATCAACCATTGAAAACTCTGCTAATTGTATCAGGTCAATTTGCCAAAGAGTAAAAGCAACTCATCTTCGCTACAACATACCGATGAAAAACTGCCGTCTGTTATTATATTTTGCCAAGATTATAATAAATATAAATCGCTAGTAGACGCTAACAGATGGTTTAATGTGGCTGATGTTTGTACTGATCATGAAACATTAAAGCAAAGTATACTTCGCGTTCTACCATCCTTACAATTCAATCTTTTTCCAGCTCAGAAATTAATCTCGACCAGAATGCTGTCGCCATTTCAAGGTACCATCGATGACAATTCTTACTTCTCCTGTCCGTTGTTTGTTGATCTTCTCTCTGAAAAACGATCAAAGAAAAAGACTAAGAATCATAAAACGGAAAAACAAATAATGCTAAATAAATGTCGTGACTTCTATCGTGGAAATAAACGTGAATTAGAGCGAATTGAAGAATTTCGACAAACCTATACTCCATCAAAAGCAATCCAGTGGTACACTCGAGATAGTTTTGTCTATCGATTGGTTAATCGTGCATTTCGTACCGAAGATATGTCTCTATGGTATTTATTTCGTTTTTACTGTATCGATCTCTCGAATGAACTAAAAAACCTGCAAGAGCAACAGAATATTGCAGAAAGTTTTCTCGTATACCGTGGTCAAACACACCTACCTGTCAATGAACTTACGAAAATAAGAAACAATATTGGCGGATTGATTTCAACAAATGGATTTCTCTCTACGTCAAAGCTAGCCGACGTAGCACTCAGCTTCGTTATAGGTGCGGAAAATACCGAAGAATTTAAAGTTGTTCTCTTCGAAATTGAAGTGGATCCATTCAGTCGAAATAATTGCGTATTTGCCGATACTCAAGAATATTCTGAACATGGAGAGCATGAAGTATTATTTAATATTGGGTCAACATTTGAAATTATAAATGTAAGCATCGACGAAAAAGCCTCGTTATTTAATGACAAAAATCCGCTAACACGTATCAGAATGAGAACAACAAATAAAAAGACAAATGAATCTAACAAATATTTTGATCCTAGCAAACTACGAAACGCAAATATTGAAATTTATTTCGGTCGTCTACTAATCAGTTTAAATCAATATGAAAAAGCAGAATCCTATTTTAAGATGATGTTACATATATTACCGAAAAATCATGAAGATATCGCTTCTTTATACGATCATCTAGGACATCTACACTTGCAAACAACAAACTGGAGCGAAGCACATAATTGTTTGAATTTTGCTCAAAATATAAAACAGAAAAGTCGTCCTGCTATACATCCTGTCTTTGAAATTACCTTCAACGGACTTGCCAATTATTATAAAGCAATACATAATTATACCAAAGCACTATTGTATTATGAAAAAGCACTGAAATGCTACGGAATCCATGAACTCAGTGTTTCAATGACAAAATTGAATCAAGCCTCCATTCAAATACTTATGAAAAACTATGATATTGCATTTAAGTTATGCCGGGAAGCATTTCAAATTCTTATAAAGACTCAACTATCACCTGAACTAGAAATGCTGCAGTATAAAGGAATTATGGGCGATTATCATTTGGCTCGAAGAACGTACGTAAAGGCAATCCAGTATTATAAGGAGGCGTTTGATTTAAGCGAAAAAATATTATTAATTGGCGACCTACGTCGTGTGCATTCAGCTCTAGCTCTAATTGAATGCTATCGTTCACAGGGAAATATTTACGATGCTAAATTGATTTGCGAGCAACAAATCAAGATCTATGGCACTAATCTGACACGCGATTATTCAGGTATAGCATATTTTAAAATAAAACAGGCCGAACTTGACACCGGTGATGAGAACAAGAATTACTTACAATTGCAGCTCTATGAAGAGGCTTTGAATATACTTCAGAAAAATACTCATCTACATCACGAGAAAACGGCTCAATGTCTAACGCTTATAGCTCACTGTCATATGAAAAATGGAAGTGAATATGAATCAGCTGTAGATCGTTTGAAATCAGCAATATACATACAAGAGAAAATTTATCCGAGATCTCATTTGCTTGTTAAAAACACAAAAAAACTTATTGACCAATGTAACAGCGTTATTTATCCGATAGAGACAAATAATAGAAATTTATTGATTTAGCCAGTAGTAAATTTACTATCGATCATCACAAATTCAACTTACTTCAGAGAAAAAACTATAGTAAAAAATGCTACATTGAATACAGTTTCAAAACGGTGCGTGTAACGCCAAAACGCACTATGCTCTCACCTTCACTTTGTCCTTGTTATTCTTCCCATGCGTTGTTATTGTTATGCTCGTCATATCTTGTCCGTGTCACTCTTTTTGCACTTTGTCCTTATCATACTTTGTCCATGTCATTCTCTTTGCACGTGCCCATATCACTTTCCTTGCACTTTGTCCCCGTTATCTATCTATATTGATCACCTTTTTGATCTGAGGCTTAGATGGCCACTTTCTCATGCCTCTCCCGCGATCGACGATATAAGCGGACCGTTTGTATGTAGACAGCACGATTCTGAATATTCGAATAAAATCCATCATCACTAGCTCCTTAACGGTGCTCTTACATCAGAAATTGTCACAGTGCGGATTGAATTTAAACTTCTGAAAGAAAACAATTAGTGTAGCAGTTTGAAGACCTTGCAAAGATACGCTCAGAAATAGCTTAGTTATTTATCTCTCAAGGTTTGACAGTTGATAAGAGGTTATTTTTTTTGTTTTGTACTATCACTTGTTTCAAAAAATGTCAGAAGTCTCTGACTTGAGACTTCTGACGATAAATGTCGTCGCCAGTTCGACAACTAAATAACTTCATAGATCCACTCAGCCGGCAGTTATCATTTCTTGATCAGCTCTCTTAATTTTTATGTTGATTGGGATGATTTACAAAATAATTTCTTAAAAACATAGAACATTTAAGCACAGTATTTAGTTGATGAGGAAAATTTTATTTTATTGTAGCTCCGTTTCGATCCCATCAGCTTTTTTGTTGTGGTTGCACATATCTCTAATCGTGAATGACCGTGCGGTCTCGAAAAGTTCGATAACCTCTAAAAGCCTTATGAATTTTAGAAGGTAGCAAAGATATGGAAAACTGTGATGACTTCATGAGATTGTATGAAATTTTAGACAGACTATCGCAGGCATCGAAAATCCCGTAAAGCTTCATAGGACTGAGATGGCACACTCCAACTTGGAACTGTAGTTAACTCCAGAGCTGACATTTTTCTACAGGAGATTAACTGAAGCCGGATAAGTACTTTGTCAATAACAGACGTAAAAAAAGAGAATATGTTTCACCACGCTTAACACTATCATGCCGATGATAGTTGTGTTTATTTGACTTCTTCTCTCTTCATACCTATATTGTGTCTACGGTTGTGGTACTTAGAAAAGGAGATTGACTGAAGTCTCCAACT